AGAGGAAAGAGAAAATCAGAGGTCCAGGCTAGGCATGGAGAGTGATGACTGGGTAGAAACAGAGAAAGAGTCTGATGAATTTGTGTGGCTTGAATGTCTGTAGAAGGTGGGACTTACGGAGCCCAAGCTGGGGACGAGCAGTAGTGCCAAGCGTGGCCTTTGACAGATAGTCCATGTTGTGGATTAAACTGTGTCCTCTAAAAGTATATGCTGACACTCTGAACCCATGTGTCTGTGAACTTGATCTTACTTGGAAATAGGGGCTTGAAGATGTAGTCAGGTTGAGAGAAGGTCATACTGGACTATGCTGGGCCCTAACCTAATGACTGGGGTCCTCATAAAATGAGGGACATTTAGACATTGATGCACAGAGAGGAAAATGCTACATGAAGAGACAGAGGGACACACAGGGAAATGGCCATGTGAAGGAGGAGGAATACACTGAACTACAAGCCGGAAACACATAGGACGACCAGCAATCACCAGGAGCTGGGATGGAGCACAGAAGGGTCTTCCCCAGATCCTTCAGAAAGGGCATGGCCCAACCTGCACCTTCATTTTGGAATTCTAACCTCCAGAACCATGAGAGAATATATTTCTGTTGTTTCAAATCACTCATTTTATGGTACCCTATTAGGGCAGCATGAGGAAATAGTAGGTGATTAAAAAATGTTTGGCAAGTGATTCAGTGAGTGAATAGATAAATGAATGAATGAAAGAACCCAGTCCAGGGAGGTTCAGAGTCAGGTCTGCAGGTGAAGAACCTACAGGTAAACTGAGGCAAGATAGAGGCAGCATTCTGAGAAGGAGGCAGATGGTGAGATTTGCTGGGAACATTTCCACCGCCCCCCTCGTGATCATGTAAGAGGATCAGCATTAAAGGCCCTGCACCAGGCCACAGCACAGATGCTGACTCTGCAGTGTGGAACTACATCCCCACGTCTGACCTTGGACCTCTGAAGGCAGAGCCACCATCTAAGCGACACAAGACAGTTGTTACCTGGGGTGACTATTGTGTCCATGGTGTTATGGCTGAGGGTGAGTGGACAGGACTGGGGGACAGAAAGGACTGTCTGATTCCCTCCCAGAAGTCACTGAGAGCAGGCAAGGCAAGCCCAACCTCAATAGGTCTGGTGTGGGCACTGGGCAGGTCTTACCCAGTAAAGTTATGTCAGAGCCAAGACAGGACATGTGGTATGTGAGGCAGGAGGGGAGCGAGAGGTCAACAGGCAGAGAGAGGGACAAGAAATCATGTCATGAAAAATCAGGAATGAGAAAAAGGCTCCAAGATGTGGCCTTGAGCAAAATTGGGGTGATACAAGCACCTTGCCTGGAGCAGCAAACGTGTGTCAGTTATGGTGCCCACGAGCTTGGTCTCAGTTCCACAGCTCTGTAAGGCAAAATCACCATCCCCAATTCAGACTTAAAGAAACTGAGGCCCAGAGAGGTCAGGTAGCTTCCCGAGGCAAGTGACTAGAAAGGACAGACCCTGGATTCTACCTTGCTGCTGATTCGAACACCCATAACACGCCCCTCACACCCTGCACTTCCCTTCAGTCCCAAGTTAAAAGCTACCTGCCCCCAAAGGCAAGGCAGAGATGACTCCGGAGTGAATCATAGAGGACCTTCCGGAGAGCATGGAGGGCATTCCATGATTGCTGCCTAAAGAGCCTTTTAGACATGTTTTTTCTAATCACCACCTCCCCCCATGAAATTTTAATAGCAAAAATATACTCCTCATTTGTTCATGTGCCCTATGTATACATGTGCCTCATCCACAGAAAGGGTAAGATATTTTCTTTCCTTCGAAAGTCAGTGTTTGCACCCCCAGCTACACATTGAGAGTGCACAGATTAGAAGATGCTAATGTCACCTTTCTGTGTAACATAGAAGACTCGGAGTGACCTTTGGATTAGAACAGGCTTATTTACTGATATGGGGAAGCTTACTGACCTGGCTAACCTTTCCATGAACAGGGTCCTGGTGTGCCAATGAAAGCAGCCCCTTGGAGGTAGCATCTGTGAATACCAACTCTGCAGCACGTGGGTGCGTGTGGGCACATGCTTGTGTGTGGTCTGTGTGTGCAAGCTTGTGTTTGTGGTTATGTGTATGTCCGTGCATGTGTGGTACGTGTGTGCGGCATGTGTATATATACTGTGTGTGTGTGCTTGTGTGTGTGTGTGTTCTCTCGTGGCATCTTCCCAGCATTGCTGAGCGGAGAAGCCAGCTCTCCTTTTTACAGAGATGAGATCACTAAGGGGATCAAGATCACAGAACAAGTTGTCTGTTCAAGATCAGTCAGCCAAGGAGGAATAAAGCCATGATTTGAACCACAATTCCTGGGACTCCAAATAGTCTTTGGCTGCCCTGTAACACATGGGAAATCATTATGTCTTGCTGAGCTTAAATGTCTTTGTCTGCAAAATAAACTGAAAATAAAATCTACCTCCCAAGACATCAAGTGAGATGGTGCATCTGCAATGATCCCACACCGGGGAGGGGCCTTGGCCACAGCTGAGCAGGCAGAGGGGTCCTCTGACTTAAACTGGGGCCATTATGACCCCCTGCTGGGGAACTTGAATGTCAAAGAGAATCCACCAGAGATAAAGCTGGCTGGTCTGGGTCATTTGCTAACCCCCCCCCCCCCACAACTCCAGAGTGAGGACGCCTGAGGTTTCTGAGTTGGCATCTGCCTGTTTCCTCTCCAACCCTCTGTCCTGCAGTGACATCCCAGCCTCCCGTGCCGGCCACCTTCGGGGTAGGTTTTGACGGTGGAAGCTCTGGCCGAAGACTGAGGGGTGGGATTCCTCCCCCTTTCTGTTCCCTCTGGGGTCTTCAGCAGTGACTGCGTCTTCCTTCAGCAGCTTCAGTGTCTGTTAAGAGTAACCGCCCTGAATCAGTGTCCCAGCCCCTGATGAGACAGCCCACCATGATTCCAGCTCCCAGTACAAGGCCCCACCTCTGGACTTGAGTCTCTCCTCCTCCTGTTTTTTTGTTTAGCCCTAGGAGAGGTGGAATTTCTGCTGTTGCTATCAGGTGGCTTTGTGGTCCTCTGCATTCTCACCTGTGTAACCACTTCACTGTGTTAAATACCCTCTATTTGAAAGACCCAGAATGGTTTCTGTTTACCCAGCTTGACTCTGACTGACACAGTCTCAAAGGGCCCAGGTTTCTGTCCTCCTGTGTCTTAGGTATTATTCTTCTAGTAAATTCTACTCAACACACACACACACACACACACACACACACTTTTTTCCTAAGTTAGGCAGAACTGGTTTCCGCTTTTTGCCAACAACAGAACCTTGACTAATTCAGTGCATGATCTGTGCTCTGTAAAACTATAAGCAATTTGCAAATATTCACCCACCATGGCAGGTGCTCAGCTGATGTTTACAGAGCACTGAATTGAGCTCATTTGCCCCTGACTGATGTAGACATATGCATGGAGATGTCAGCATTGAGGTATTAATTTGTATTTCATCCTCACAATTTCAGATAGTTTTCTCTTCTCTAATTTCTTTGCCTGAAGGTTTTATTTGTGGATGTGTCAAAAACTGAAGCAATCCCAGGTCCACAAAATCACCCCTCCTGGCTCTGAGGGGACCTGTGAAGGCTGTTTCCAGAAGGAGAGAATATGTGTATGGAGACAACTATTCAGAATTTCATAGTAAAAAGCCTTTGGACTTGGTTCAAAATGGAATAGGAGATTCCCGAGAAACTAAAGACAGAAAGGAATTCTTAGAGATTTCCAAGGAGGGAGGAATCCAAGGTTTAATGTGTCCAAAGCTTCCCCTCAGGGAACTCTCCAGCGTGTCAGGGCAGGCTGACTGTGCCAGCCTTGGAGCTGCCCCCAAATCCAGGAGTGTCCTTACTCAAACAGGAGTGGAAGACAGGAGCCACAGAGCCTCCTCTGCAAAGCTTGAATTTCTCCTCCTCAGTTCAAAAGTTCTCGGATTAGAGCGACAGGGGCCTTCTGAAGGCATAAGAGGAATGATTTCATTTCATATGTGAAGATACTGGGCGCAGGTTTAAGAAACCAGCCCAGCGTCCCCAGCCAGGATCAGCAAAGCCTCACCCCTGCCCCTGGCCACAGTATCTGGTGTTACTAAGGGCCTGGAATTCTCCATGATGAGATTTGATTAGAGTAATCCGACCTCTTCTTTCAAAACTATCTTGAACTGGTAAATATTTGTCATTGAGTCTTTAGAGAGAATTATCTTGGTCACATTACATTTCTTTTGGCCATGCTGTGAGGATGAAGCTATTACAGGAGATGGAGCGCGTGTGGAGTGGGGATCCCAGGGGGTAGAGGCCGGTGAGGCCGAGCCTGGGGGAGCCGCAGAGGATATGGAAGGAACTCTGAGACCGTGCGGGAAGGTACACAGAGAAAGGCAAAGCAAAGCAAAGGTAGAGCCGGGCTGTCCTGGGCCCTCCTCCCAGCCTTGCAACACACTACCTGTGTCTGCGCACAGTGAATTCTTCCTTCCTGCTCTCCTCCTTGGAGTGCTGTGAAAACTGCTTGGGGTGATGGAAAACCAGGTCACGTTCTGAGAGCCAGAGTCAGCGAGCACAGTCATCTATGGCTGGCTGGTGCAAGATGGGTGCGTGCACCCCACCAACCCTCCCTCCTGGGGGCCTCCACTTGCACACAGCTGAGCTCTGGCAGGGAGGCAGCTTCGCGCTGACCAGGAGGTGGATGAGTCTTGTCACCCAGGGGTCAAGGGTCGCTCCACACACCCAGCTGAAGTTTCTGTTCCTACCCACGTAACGGCCACAACAGCAAAAGTATCAATAGATTTAGTGAAGCTGGCAGTTAACTCACAGCCAAGCTGAGGTTGGTGCCTGGGACTACCTGACTGGCAACCGCATCACTGGGGGAGTAGAAGGGGTGCTCGGGCAGAACAGAGCTCATGGGTGGAGGGAAATCCTTTTGTGATTGAATGTGGTCTAGGTAAGCATTGACCTTAACAGAGAAACTAGAAAAACTTGGAAACTGAAAAGGTTTTTCTCCCAAGGATGCCATAAGTCAGGAGAAGTAGCAGCCATTTAGGAAGCTCCTGCTACAGCTCGGGCCCTGTCAATGTGCCTCGGTGCACGTTATGTTATGTGGTCCTCAGATCAAACTTCCATATGGGTAGCAGCATCCTGGACTACTTACAGGTGATGGAATCCACACAGAATGCATCAGTAGATTTAAGCAGGCGGTTAAGTTCATAGCAAAGCTAAGGCTGGTACCTAGGACGGCCTGACCTGGAACCTCCCGTGCATACATTACAACAAACCTTTAGTATGTGAGAGAGGGGGCTGGGAGAGAGGGAGAGAGAGAATGAGAGAGGGAGAGGGGGAGAGAGGGAGAGAGAGAATGAGAGGGAGAGGGGGAGAGAGAGTGGAGGCAGGCACTTTTCATCCATTGTCTCATTTCCCTCTTCAAACAGCTCTATCAGACAGACACATTATTAGCCCCATTTTACTGACGAGATAACTGAAGCTCAGAGAGGTGAAATGACTTGGCCAATGTTGCACCAGGTCGTATTGAGGCCAGAGTCCAAGGTGTGCACATTACGTCCCCTCCACCCCTGGGAATGCCTCCAGCTTGTCTTTGGTATGAGAAGGGAAGGGGGCGGAGAGGGCGTGAGTTCAGGTAACCCCCACTCTCACATCAACGTGCTTTCCTCTCTTACCGGACAGCAGTGCAGACACGAATGCTTCCCACTCAGCGTCCTTCCTCCTAGAGAGGGGCTGTGAACAGCACAGCCAGCCTTGCAAAGGGGCCTGGCAAGAACGAAGGTCTCACCCTTCCATTTCTTGCACAGGCAAATCACTTTTGGTGACGGAACAGCAAACATCTGTGCACAGTCACTTGCAGTATTCAGTCAATGTAGTAATGGCGTTCTCATGTCAAGAATTTACAGCCTTTTCTTCAACATCGAAGATAACAAAAAAGCTATAAAATCTTGCTCTGAGACTCACCTTCTCAGCAACACCCCTTCCGGGCAACACATTCCACAAGTTGTAGATTTCCACGCACTAGCTGCAGCCTGCTGAGGACACTTCTAGAAAGTGAGCATCAGCATTGCCCGATCGCCGCATGGGTAATGATGAAATGTTCTCATCTGCACCGCCCAACGCCGTAGGCCTCGGCCTCCTGTGGCTACTGAGCGCTTGGCATGTGATTAGTGCAACTGAGGAACTGAATTTGTAATTCAATTTTAATTAAATTTAAATCTAATCAAATGTAGCCACGTGACCAATGGCTACTGTATTAGGTAACACAGATCTGGATAATTACTAAGAAAATATCAGCCTGGTTACTTATTTATACACTTATTTTATGGTAAACACAAAATGATTGCAGCTTATTTACCTAATATGTTTAACTGTTGGCCCCAGAATTTTGCACCGTGGGAATTCACAGTTGTGTAAACACTCTATGCACAAAATTAAGTTCAAGAAAGAGACCATGTGTTTGCTTATTTGCATTACACCATAAAAACTCCAAGAGTGATAATTAAAAGATTAAACACTCAGAAATGCAAACATCCTTGCAAGCATCCACTACTTACCTGCTTCTTACCAGTGTCAGGTTTAAAAGAAGAAATGTCATCAGTGCCAGGAGTGCATTGGCTTCACCTGCAGCAATGCCGCCTGTGAGCTGCGGCCACGTGTGGCTGGAGTAGATTCTATGTGTGACTAAGCTGCCTGCTCCCTGCCCATAAGGTCTCTCTGGGCAATGGTTCTTCACTCCTTTACTTTCACTCATACTCATGCTTTTTATACACAGTCTTTGCTTCATTTGGGAAGTGTTTATTCTTTGTAATGATAATGATCCTTGCATGAAATATTGGCATCATGATATCTCGCTATGGAGTTGCCTCCTTTCTCATTCCAGGAAAATGACCTGGCTACGCTCATATCTGAAAAACACAGACTTGTGAGCTCCATCCGGAGATCTGGGTCAGAATGACCACAGCGGGACCTGGCCAGCTGCGTTTCCTTCAAGCTCCCTGGGTGATGCTGATCTGCAGCCAGATTTGGGAAACACTGACCCAAATCCTCCTCCTTTGACAAAGGCTTTCAAGAGTAGGGTCAGCTATGAAGACGTGCCACAGGGGCCATTGTCACCCCAGCCACTAACTGACATCTTCCACTATGCCCTGTCCCATGCTGGGCATTTAATATAAGCTGTCTCTACAGTTATCCAAGGAGATAGGTGTTTCCGTTCTCACAAAGAATCTGAAGCTTAGAGAAATTAAGACCCTTTCATTCAACATCCATTCAACAAATATGCATCATGTGCGTGGGCTGTGCAGGTGCTATTGTGGGCTGTGGAGGTATAGCAGTGAATGCAATGAACAGATACCCCTGATCCCAAAGAGCTTGCATTGTAACTGGAGGAGGCAGATGATGAAAGAATAAGCCAGGCGCTCTGCCAGCCAGCCACTATAGCAGGTAAGGCGGCCGGGAAGGACGCAGGGGCTGTCTAAAGGTTGGTGCTCGGCGATCTTCTCCAATAAAGCTGCCTTTGAGCAGAGTCCTGAAGGAGCTGAGAATGACTTTTTCAAATTTTGAAATTAGGATGAGGGTACAAATTTTTAGGTTACAGTGTTCTCACTTCCAAGGTAACAAGTCGCAGTAGAGCCCTTCACCCAGGGGGTGCACTGAGCACCCTCACATCGTGCACTTTGGTGAGATCCTGCCAGTTGCCCTCTCTCTTCCCACCAATCGCTTCCCCTGCCCTCCCCCCTTCCTCTCCTCTACCCCTTGCTAGACCATATTTGTGTTTTTTCATTTATGTAGGTGTAACCCAAATGCCCATCAACCCGTAAGAGGGTTAACAACTATGGCATATGTACACCATGGAGTACTCTTCAGGGGTAAGAAAAGATGGAGATTTTACATCTTTGATGTTTACTTGGATGCAGTTAAAACACATTCTTCTTAGTAAAGTATCTTAAGAACTGAAAAAAAATATATCCAATGTACTCAATACTAATATGAGAATGTCTTCAAGAAAGGAAGTTGGGAAAGCGTAGCCCAGGCAGGGAAAAGAAGCCTGAGGCCAAGGGGTGGGGGGCACCCAGAGCCACACAGGTGAAAAGTGCAGAGTTTGGGTCTGATCCTGGCCTCTCTGATGCCGGCTCTAAGCTGTGCTTCTGGCCACAACTCTCTGGTGCATTGTGTTAGCCATTTTGTTGCTAAGTGATGTTGAACAACTGGCTTATCTCCCCCTCCCCCTTTATCTGCAATAAAACGGAGTTTGGCTGTCACAGGGACAGTCCCTTATGTGGCAAGTAGGGGCTTGTGCACACACACTCCAGTGCTGTGAGGGGGCCTCATTATGGTCCTTGTGTGACAGACGCAGGAACAGAGACACTGAGAAGGTCACTGGCTTGCCCAAGTTTCTAAGCTGCTATGAGGCAGGATCAGGATTTGAATCTGCTCAGCAGCACCCATCACAGCATCTCGCTGCCTCTGGAACATTCTCTGCTGCTGTTACTTAAGTTATTAGAGTCCGGGGTAGACAGTCCTGAGGGCTGCATGGGGTAGCTATACATTGGTGGCTGAACTGGGCTTAAAATAAGAGATCCCGACCCCTGTTGGGTGAGAAATTGACAGAATTCACCATAGCAGATGGCCTGTTCTTTTTATTGGTTTCCAAAGAAAAAAAGAGACTCTTTCACCGAGCATAGGACAGCTGACACATTAGAACATCATAATTTCAAATTACAGACTTATTAAATCCATTAGAATAATTATCACTGAGAATGTACTTAAAAGCCCATAATGACTTTTTATGCAGCCTTTGGTGTGAGCACCTTCTCCCATCTCTGTTATCCCCCTCCTCCCTCCCTGAGACCCTGAGGACAGCCTTTGTTCTCTCTTCCTGAGCATTCCCCGAACCCACAGTCCTGACACATCTTGAAAAACACCCAGCAGAAGAAAAAACCCGGGCATCTCCAGCCTGCCTGGTCTTGCTGCAGTCACATCTTGCATTTTCTCAGCCCATTTAGAGAGAAGGAGGCTAAAGCTGATAACCTGTCACCTGCTGAGATCCTACTGATCTTAGTGACCCAGCTACAGGTCCTACTGGTCCCAGGTGAGAAGACCCTTCTGCAGACAGGAGTCTTCTCCCTCAGCTCCCCACAGCTCTGATGCATCACTTTCCTCACAGGACGCACCTTTTCGCATCCCAGTCCAGTTTCTCTGTTTACATGTCAGTCTCCCAGTCTCCTCTGGAGGGGAATGTTTTATTCACAGTTTACCTCTCCTCGTGCTTAATGGACAGCCTGACACACAGACAGAACTTTAAAAAATTGCAGAAAAAATTAGTTAGTGAATGAATGAATGCATGTATATATTGCTGCCACTGAAACTCCTTTGACATGAGAACTGATGTGTTCTAAGATCTCTACGGGAAATGTCGGTACAGCGGAGACCAAAACAGACAGCGTTTCATCCTCAGGGAGCTTCTGGTTTCGAAGGGAAGTTAACAGAAAATGACAATTTCAAATAGTAATGTTTCCTATCAGAAAAATTGTAAGGAGTCCAGTATGATAGAATCGAGGTTGGAGAGGGTGGTATTGCAGTGGTCAGGAAAGGTGTGGCAGAGGCCACTAGTGGCTTGCCCAACCATGTACCATAGTCATTCTTATAACAGAACCCTGATGTTATTCCCTGCCATATAATTTGTTCAGTGTCTGTCTCCAGCTGGACAGACCTCCTGGACCAGCTTCCTGAGGGAGGGGATTTGGCGTTTAATTGCAGTGCAGCCAGTTTCGCTGTGGAGCTGGGCACAGAATAAGTGCTCACTGCATGCCTGGTGAGCGAATGAACGAGCCACCTAGGACTTCCAGGGTGTTACTGCTTGTGCAGGTTCCTCATCCCAAGTACCCACCCCCATGGTGGACAAGCCCAGTTATTTCTATTCTGTTGTAGATGAGGACTCTGCCTCGTCCAGAGGTTAAGTGTCCACTGAATGTCAGACACACAGATACCTTCAGGGCCTGGATGTGAATCCAAGCTTATCAGACTATGGCTTTCAAGCCTGGGAAGTATAATCTGGGTCACTCCTTTTCAACCTTGGTGCCTTGAATTGCTTTTTATTTACCAAGAGTCAGTCCATATTTCAAATTACTCTCAGAATAAAAAATTTTTTAAAGGAAAAATAAATCCTACTTCCCCCCTTTTAAAAAATTGTGTATATTTGTGTGTGTATGTGTATGTGTGTGTTTCCAAGCTTTTCCAGGCAATGCAAGCATCAGCATCCTAGAAAGGGTGTCCCTTTAATTTGCGTACATGTGAAAGGTCAAAATGCTTGGTCTATGGGGAGGCTTATATGAAACATCCATCATTGGACTGTCTGGGTCTCAAACCTAAGGAGTCAAGGAGGCCAGTTCAGGGAGCTCTCAGGAAACTCACACATGGAAGGCTAAGGAAGAGACACATGTCCAGCGGACTTAATATGAATCCTAATTTTTAAAATTCTATTGTGGCAGGTAGAGTGCTATGGAGTCATAGCTCACAGCAACCTCCAACTCTGGGGCTCAGATGATTCTCTTGCCTCAGTTTTTTTCTATTTTTAATAGAGATGGGGGTCTTGGTTTTGCTCAGGTTAGTCTTGAACTCCTGAGCTCAAGACCCACCTTGGCTTCCCGGAGTGCTAGAATTACAGGTGTGAGCCACTGTGCCCGGCCTAAATTATATTCTATTTTCAAAGCACTTGGGGTGCTTGATTTCTTACAGGACTCCAAAGTGGTTCTTTGTCCCCTCCCTCCTGGTACCAGTCCTACCCACAATCGATGCTCCAATAATGACAGGCCCTCCTTCTCCCAGGCCTCCACCTTTTGTGGACTGAAAGATACTCTTGAAAGGCAATTAATTTGATTACATTATAAATTTGATTTTTTGCTTAAGATTGAGCCTCAAATGAATAGAGACTTTGCACAAGGATTCAAGGAACATGTTATGTGTCAGAC